GGTTCTGAAGAACAAGGGCAATAACTCATATCAAATAATTTCCGATTTGTCTGATTTTCAATTGGGTTCATCCTTGAATGGTTACAAACACTCACACCAAGTTTCGTCAAAATCCATCAAGAAACCTGCTCTCTATCGTGTCCACAATGAATTCAAGAACAAGGGCAATAACTCATAATAGATATTTTTCGATTGGTCTGATTTTCAATAGGGTTCATCCTGAAGTGATTACAAACACTCATACCAAGTTTCGTCAAAATCCATCCAGAAACCAACTCTCTATCGTGTCCACAAACAATACAAGAACAAGGGCAATAACTCATAGTAATTTTTTTTCGCTTGGTCTGATTTTCAAAAGGGTTCATCCTTGAGTGATTATAAACACTCACATTAATGTGTGGGCGTATAAAAAGATCCATTGAGAATAATAGGGCACAGAATGAGTACACAAAATCGTAAAAATAGTGAAAACATGAAAAATTAATTTTTTCCAAAATATCCAAAATTGATTTTTGCGATTTCACTTTGAATTTTTTGTGTTTTTCATAATATTTTGGAAAATTTAATTTTTCATGTTTTCACTATTTTTACGATTTTGATTAATTATTGTTTTTATGAATTTTTGTGATTTTGATGTATTTTGTGTCATCTTTCTAATTAAAGTTTCTCTATTTCCCTCCATTCCTTCTATTTTTTGTCGGTTTCTCGAATTTTCACAATTTCAATTCTTGTTTTCTGCAGTTCTTCTGCTCTCAAACCACTGAGAAACGTCGAAAAATAAAAAAATCGCAATGGTCCCCAATGGGCTACGGTACATTATATTATTTTGCAGACGAACCAGACTGTTTTAGTAGACCCAAGACCAAATGATTATTTGGGATGGTCTTTTTGCACCTTTCTTTGCTGTTGTTTACCTATTGGTATTGCAGCTCTTATTTTCTCGTGTAACGTAAGTAATATTTATTATTGTTATAAATGAGGATATCAAGTACCTTTCTCGAACAGTGAACATATTATTTATTTGGTAAAAATAGTCCGATGACTCTGTTGGTGGACAGGACTGTCTGCGAGGTCATTCTTCAACCTATAAGATATAAGCCTCAATAGCAAGTCTAAAACACTTCTCTCGTTTGGAACACTTCAGAAGTTAGACGGGCTATGATTAGCTGTAATCGCTAGCGTGCAATCCAATCAGATAGCTGTATTTCGTCATACGAGAATAGTGGCTATTGCAATCAAGGTATAAGACGAAGTTCGTAATATCTTGACATTCTGAAGGCGTCTTGCCTCAATGAAATTCAAATTTGAGTAAAGTATGAACAAGGGTTTGTGTTTCTGTGACCTTATATAAGGTGGTAGGAGTGAACACAAAACTACATTTCATTCTAATTTATATTTTTTTCATTCCAGTCGATATCATCAGCAGATAGGCTAAAGTTTGAACAAGCCGGAAAGGAGGCGAATACTGCCCGAATCCTAAATATTGTTGGGTTCGTCATGGGATTGGGTATTTATATTCTGATCATAGTGTTGTACGCTACTGGAGTTTTCTACGTCAGAAAATACAACTATGATTATGAGTACGGAAAATAGACCAATCCTGTAACACATTCTTTGTTTTCTCTTTTTTCACAGCATAGGAAATTGCAGAAATACCATAATTCACGATGAAAAAATTTAGATCTAGAGAAGACGTCTGATTGGCCAAATGTGGGATTGCTAAAATACCGTTCAGTTTATGATAATATTTAAATAGGCTACGAGACTCAATTTGATTGAATAAAAAGATTGTAAAGAGATTTTCTAAACTTTTTTTGTGTATTGGGGCCACTGATAGTATCGTTTGCACATTCCAATTTTCAGTCAGACTCTTAGGGAAGCTGCACTGAGTTCTGCTGCATTTCTTGGAAGGGGTTGAATCTGGTTTAGTCGTCTTTAGATGTCATCCCATAAGTGTTCTATTGGGTTTAAGTCCGGGCTGAGTGAGGGCCATGGCATAACTCTGAAGTAATGCTGTTGGAGGAAGGTTCTGGCAGTGTTTGGACGGGCGCTGTCAGGTGCTTGAAGTTGTGGTTTCGGAGTCTTGCAAAATGCGGTACAACGTGGTTGATGTATAGGGCGACTGTGACTCCATGGTCTATGCCTGGGCCAAGTTTCTGATTGATGCCGACTGAACCCCATACCATAATGCGTGGTCCTTCCCACGGGTCTCTTTCAACCACACACTATTCTGTAAAACATTCACCTCTTCTTCCAACACTCGTACTCTGCCATCTGCAGTACCGACTCTCATCTGAGAACACGTGGATCCTTCACTGCTGATGCCCCCAATGTTATCGTTCGGTGGCCCACCCAAAACGTTGCTGACGATGATGGGGAGTGAGCACCGGACCCTTGTATGGACGGCGACAAGACACGTTCTGGGAGGCGAGCCGATTTCGAACGGTATCAGCACTGATGGGTTGATGATGGTGGCCAATTGTCTGACGAGCTGTCTGTGCAGCTGTGGCGAATCTGTCGTGATCCAGGGACGACCACTACGTGCACGGTCATCAGTGTTGTTGGTGGTGATGTAGCAATGACTTGAGTACGTTGTCCGGTATTTAAGCATTGTTGGGAGGTTAGTCGTGCCATGAGCTCACTGTCTTCAGAGCAACTGAATTCTCAGGAGTTTGATTGTATATCGAACTCTGGTACATGTTGCACGTGCATTTCGATATTCCTCCACATATCTTACAACTTGCTCCAACGGACATCTGACAGTTACTAAGGACCACAACTCTTAAATCGTACACAACCGATATTATTAGTTTAATGTCATATTAATGAGCCCAGAAGTTGAACTATTAGGATGGGACGCAGGGGCGGCGATCCGTTTTGCAAACGGGGAGGGATACATCTTTTTGGAGTACTGGTCGAAGGGCAGACTTGTAGCCAGCCAAGAAATTTAGGTATCCCCCCTTCCCTCCCGGAAAACTTTGTGAATTGTAACTCAAAACAGTGATGCTCGCCGAGGACGCCAAGCCTGGAAACACGATTATCGGAAGTCTGGGGACCATGTCCAGAAAATCTTAGAGAATTTGATTTTCCTTAAACGCGATTTTTTGACATTTTCTGGTGAATTATGGGACTGTGGATCTTCCAAAAGAAAATTTTGAGAATTAAACGCCCGGAAACGCGATTTCCTGACATTTCCCAGAGAATTTAATGTTCAAGATTATATGCATAAGGTCTGTGGTGTACCTGTTTTGAGAATTAGACGGCCAGAAACAGTTTTTTTTAAGATTGAAACGACAATTAAAAGGAAATATACATTAGTTATTCTTCTCTGACTCTGAATAATGCAATAATCGTTCAAACTATTTGGGCAACATTACATAGGCCTACAATTATCCCAATTGGAGCTAACGTCGGCCAAGAGATTATCGTCGGCCAATTTCCTTATCGATGTATATCACGATGATCGATTATATTCATTTATCGATTTATATTTACGAACTCTGGTGGTCAATTGAATGAATGAAGTGAATATGACGTCCAGGTCAATTGTATGAATGAATTGAACTTTCATTAATGGCTATTTGTTAAAGGGGACAATATATATGTCCCATCAGGATCGCCGCCCTTAATGGGACGTATAAACTAATAAGGCGTCTAACCAATGGGACCATACTTCTCATTACTTGGACAGGACTAAAAATACATCTAACTAATAGGGTCATATGTCTCACTACTAGGACGCGGCACGTATTAACTAATAAGACGTCTAACTAATGGGACCATACGTCTCACTACTTGGACGGGTGGATTAACTAATAAGACGTCAAACTAATAGGTCCAGATCTTTTAGTAATGGGGCGGGATGGGACGTCTGACTAATGGGACATCTAATTAATAAGACCATACTTCTAACTAATGGGATGTTACCGTGGCATGT